CCCCCCCCCCCCCTCCCACCTCCCTTTTCCCCTTGCTGCAGCTGAGACCGGAACGAATGAGGACCCAGTTGTGGTCCCAGCCGTTAACCCCATCGCCATGAAGCAGCAGGAAGACATTCGGGTGAAGCTTGCTGCCCTGAAGGAGAAACGCCTCCTGAATCAGAAGCTAGGGTAGGTCAGACCTGGCATCCGCGAGAACCTTTGTCACCCTGTGTCCCTGGGACCTGGGCTGCTCTTTGTGTTCTTAAAAATAAAGCACAATAACCAGATCTGACAGCCCTTGATGGAGCACCGAAACAAAAAGAGTTAATGGAAATTTATCAAAACTGAAAACTTTGGGTGCACTGCTGTATGCCTGCTTCTGTGGAACCAACCTATTATGGAATGCCTGTGGATAGGTCCCAGCAATGGGATTTGAGGCTAGGTTCCTGGAGCTTTACGACTATTATCACTCAGCCCCAACTGGAAACTCGGCTGGGCCATTGCAGAGTGAGCAAACAGGGGGAGGGGGTATACCTGAATGTGAGTTTCAGGAATGTCTCTCGCTGACGTGGTTACAGTGATGCAGCAGTGATAGCGAAGTTAGCATGGCATTTGTGCTCAGTCCAGGCATTTTGTCTGCCCCTTCTCAATCAGCTCAAGATTGGTATTCTTTTCTCCGAATTGAGTTCCATTGCCTTCCATGGCCTGGAGGAAAGGCGAGGGAGGGAAGTGCCAGGCCCTCCACGGCTGGAGTGGGAATCGAACCTTTGTAGTCTGTGTCACTCCGAATGGTATGTTGGCTATTCAGCTAGCTGAGCTAATACAATACCATCCAGGACAAAGCAGCCCCTGCACAGACATGCCACTCCCTCCCCCCACCGACGCTCAGTAGCAGCAGTGTGTACCATCTACAAGATGCACTGCAGAAATTCACCAAAGATCCTCAGGCAGCACCTTCCAAACCCACGACCACTTCCATCTAGAAGGACACCAGCCCCTGCACGTTCCCCTCCAAGCCATTCACCATCCTGGCTTGGAACTATATCGCCGTTCCTTCACCGTTTGAGGTCAAAATCCTGGAATTCCCTCCCTGAGGGCATTTGTGGGTCAACCCGCAGCAGGTGGACTTGCAGCGGTTCAAGAAGGCAGCTCACCCCCACCTTCTCAAGGAATGGGCAATAAATGCTGGGCCCAGCCAGCAACACCCACATCCCACAAATGAATTTTAAGAACAAAACTGTCAATGATATTGTGCTGCAATATGCTTATCCATTTTGGAGCGTGGGCATTGCAAAGCATTTATTGCCCTTGCCTGGGTGACTGCAACTCCAGCAACACTCAAGAAGCTTGACACCATCCAGGGCAAAGCAGGCACCACTGCCTGCAACCCCCCCCAATGCGCACACACACGCACACACACACGACAACGGTGACCCAGGAAGGGCAGCTTGACACCACCTGCTTCGGGGGCGTGAGAAATGGCCAGGCCCCCTTGGCGTGGGTAACGAGAGGAGATCGCCCGATTTGCACGTTTTGACATCCCCTCTCTGGCGCAGGAAAGTGAAGTCTCTCGGCGACGATGACGCTTGGCTTGACGATGCCATGGCTTGGGTGGAGAAGAGCAGGAAACTGCAGAGGGAGAAGGAGATGGCCGAGAAGAGGGTAAGCCGAGGTTGGGGGGGCTCGCACAGCACTCCGTGCTGCACCGATGTGTCCCAGTCTTTGGGGCCCAAAACCAACATCAAGGTTCGCAGAAACTTGTCAACATGGCATGGAAATTTCACCACTGGGTATACGCTACACCCCAGCTCCTGCAGTATCGGGCACAGCCTGTGTCATGCAGCAGATGAGGTTTGATGGTCCCCAGAATATTATGATTGTTATTACCGCCACTGTCTCCCTCCCTGGGGGGCTCTGCTCTCCTGCTGAATCCCCACAGGAGACAGTGGGGGGAATTTAGACCTTCTGCACGAGTGGGCGAGAGTGCAGATGTGAAAGGAGCCTCACTGGGATAGAGCCGGATTACTTACCGTGCCAAAGACCGTCCGATTAACTTTACGAATCACACGCAGGCGAAGCTGCTTGAAGAAATGGATGAAGAGTTTGGCGTCAGTGACCTCGTCGAGGAGGAACTGCAGACCAAGAAACAGGTGAGGGGTGATTTAGGGGGAGGATCTGCATGGTGTTGGCTCAGGGCTTCTGACCCACATTGTTTGGATGAGCCCAGGTTTTTAAATAAACAGAGGGTTGTAGTGAGTATCAGTTGAACGTGTGGGATACCCGTCGTGGGGGTGCAGGAGGTACCAGTCTGTACAACGTCTCTGTACGTCATAATTTGGGCTGGAGTTGGGATCCATGTTGAGAGCGAGCGGTTGCTGTAGCTTGTGATAGGTGGTTGTGCCTGTGAAGAGTAAACGAATCAGCAGTGGGGCTGTATCTAACCCCGTTGCTGCCCCTGTCCTGGGAGTGTTTGATGGGGCGACAGCGTAGCGAGAGCTTTACTCTGTATCTAACCCTGTGCTGTCCCTGTCCTGGGAGTGTTTGATGGGGGGACAGTGTAGAGGAAGCTTTACTCTGTATCTAAGCCCATGCTGTCCCTGTCCTGGTAGTGTTTGTTGGAGGGACAGCATTGAGAGAGCTTTACTCTGTATCTAACCCCGTGCTGTCCCTGTTTTGGGAGTGTTTGATGGGGGACAATGTAAAGAGAGTTTTACTCTGTGTCTAACCCCTGTCCTGGGAGTGCTCTGTATTGTGTGATAAGGATTCCACAGTGTAGAAGTGGGTTTATCTGTAAAATTGAAGAGTTGGCTACCTTAGCTGGACTGTACGTTTCTGCATAATTCCCGGTCAGAATGGAGTATTTGGAGTTGGTCTTGGCAGGTGTCTTTTTGTTGAAATTTTTGAGGAGGTTAATTCAAGATGCAAACCCACCAGTTTGCTCTCCTCTCCCGCAGCTGCCGCCCTTCAAACACAGTCTGTAAGATCGGTCTCAGTCTGAATTCTCGAGCAGTATAAAGGGTGTAATCTTAAAAAAGACTATATAGTTGGTGCCAAGGCCAGTCTTTATTGCCCTGTGAGGGTGACAAGTGACAGTGGCAGGTTGGCACGTTACAGCAGTTGAGAGATGACTGTGTTGGTTTTAGGGATTCGGAGTCACATACGGTCCCAGACAGGCTCTGTCAGAATGGCACACCTTCCCGAACGCAAGGGTTTTACGATGATGCCGCAGGTTGAGGTGACCCCCCCCAGATTGTAGTTGTAACTGTCTGCAATAGGATTTGAACTAGTGTTCTCCGGACTGATGTGAATGTGGGCCTGTGTGTTTTCGGGGAGTCCGAAACCAGAGGGGCATGGGTTTAAGGTGAGAGGGTAAAGATTTAAAAGGGACCCGAGGGGCACCTTTTTCACGCAGAGGGTGGTGCGTGTATGGAACGAGCTGCCAGAGGAAGTGGTGGAGGCTGGTACCATTACAACATTTAAAAGGCATCTGGATTGGTACGTGGATAAGAAGGGTTTAGAGGGAAATGCTAGCAAATGGGACTAGATTAATTTAGGATATCTGGTCAGCATGGATGAGTTGGACTGAAGGGTCTGTTTCCATGCTGTACAGCTCTATAACTCTATAACGTAGTCACACAGCTCCTGGTCTCCCTTATTTACTGTCCTCTCACGCCAGACTCTAATGCTTGTATCTTGGTTATTTCAGCGCACCCATATGACAGTGACTTTGCCTCCCCTGGTCCCTCCAGGTCAGTGATTCTCAAGTTCTGACCATTTCATGTCACCATGGTGGGTGCTCAAGGGAATGTCTTCAGCTTTGTAACCTCTGGCGAGCCTGTTATCGCCAGTTTGGGGAGGGACACCTCTGGAAACCCATCTGTCCAAACATCAGTGCTCGCTTCCAGCTTCCACCTGGGCTCATCCACTGCCGTGTTTCACACAAATGGTGGGCTGGCTCAGTAGTTAGATCATAGATCGTAGAATCCCTAGAGTGTGGAAACAGGCCTTTTGGCCCAATAAGTCCACACCGACCCTCCGAGCATCCCACCCAGAACCATCCCCCTATAACCCACCTAACCTACACATCCCTGAACACCCTGAGCAATTTAGCATGGCCAGTCCACCCTAACCAGCAGGTCTTTAGACTGTGGGAGGAAACCGGAGCACCCAGAGGAAACCCACACAGACACGGGGAGAATGTGCAAACTGCACGTAGACAGTCGCCCGAGGGTGGAGTCGAACCCAGGTCCCTAGCGCTGTGAGGCAACAGTGCTAACCACTGAGCCACCGTGCCACCCCAACTGTCATTCACAAAGTAGACACAATTAGCACTGCTACCTCACAGCGCCAGGGACCTGGGTTCAATTCCACCCTCGGGTGACTGTTTGTGTGGAGTTTGCACATTCTTCCCGTGTCTGCGTGGATTTCCTCTGGGTGCTCCGGTTTCCTCCCACACAATCCAAAGATGTGCAGGTTAGGGTGGATTGGCCGTGGTAAATGCAGGGTTATAGAGATAGTGGGACTGGGTCTGCGTGGAATTCTCTGGTGGTTCGGTGGGCTGAATGGTTTCCTTCCGCACTGTCGGTTTATCAGGCTCTTTCTGTTTTAGGATGTCCTTGTATTGTTTGTACCAATCACCTTGGTGTAGGGAAATTGAATGCGAGAGTATAAAGGTTATGCTTCGGTTGTAGAAGGCGTTGGTGAGACCGCATTTGGAGGACTGTGTACAGTACTGGTCACTGTACTTGGGGAGAACATTAATGCACTGCGTGCAGTTCAGAGAAGGTTTACTAGACTGATATCTGGAATGAAAAGGTTGCCTGATGAGGGAGGCTGGGCCTGTATCCTCTGGAGTTTACAAGTATCCAAGGTGACTTAATTGAAACATAGAAGATGCTGATGGGACTTGACAGTGTGGATGTGAAAAGGATGATTCCTCTTGTGGGAGAATTGAGAAATAAAAGATCGTTGGTTAAAAAATAATGGGGGGGTGGGGGGAGTACTTATTTAAACCAGATGAGGAAATATTCATTTCTGAGGGTCCAGTATCTTTGGAATTCCCTTCCTCAAAAAGCAGCGAGTGCACAATCTTTAAATATTTTTTAAGGCAGAGGTAGATAGTTCCTGATAAGCAAAGGGATGAAAGATTATTGGGATCTGCAGGAATGTGGAGTTGAGATTAAAATCAGATCAGCTGTGATTTTACTGAATGACAGAGCAGGTTCAAAGGGCCTGTGCTTATTCCTTTTTTGTAATTTTGGATATTGGAGACAAGTCATAGCCTCTTGAATCCTCTCTGCCGTTCATAGACATCGTGATTAATCTACTCCGACACTGTTTTCCCACACTGCCTCCAAACCGCTTGACGGTTTTAAGATCTGCAAGTCTATCCTGTAAACATAGGAATGCTCAGCCCCTCTCCCTGCTCTGCCATTCAGTAAGGTCATGACTGATTTGATTCTGCATGTTCCTGCCTACCCCCAATAAATCTTTCAGACCCCTGCCTCATCTGTCAAGAATCTATGCCCCTCTGCCTTAATTGTTCAAGGATTTCTGCTTCTGCTGCCTCTTGAGGCAGAGATTTCCAAAGAGACTCGACTCTCCACGAGAGAGAGAGAGAGAGAGAGAGACAGAAATTCTCCTTGGCTGTTTTAACTGTGTGACCCCTGATTTGGTGACATCTTCTGGAAGAGGAGACGCCCTCTCTGCTTGCACCTGGCCAAGACCTGTCAGGATCTCGTGTGTTTCAGTCATGTCACCTGGTATTCTAAACAGTCCAACCATTTCTCACTGGGCAACCCACCCATTTCAAGATATCTGAACTTCCAACACGTTTACATCCATCCTTCAACGACAAAACCAAATTGTGCACGGAATTTCAGATGCGAAGCGTCACTGGCTGAGCCTCCATTTGTCTTCTGGGACAGAGAATGCCCGAGATTCCCCACTCTCAGTGAAGAAATTCCCTGTCCCCTCATCTTGAGTCTGATTGGCCTGTCTCCAATTCTGAGTCAGTGTCCTCTGCTTCTATACCTTGCTTCAGCCCCAGCGAAGTAAACGTCCCTCCTGCCTCCACCAGTCGAGCTCTGTAAGAATGTCAAATATTTGAATGGGACCACCCTCCATTCTCCTCAACCTCCCAGAGAATATTGTCCGTGTCTGCTTCATCTCTCTCTCCTGAGAGAACCGTCCCTCCAAGCCAGGAGTCTAGTTTGGTGATACACTTTCTCTGTGGCGAATACATCTTTCTTTGAGTAAGGAGACCAAAAAACTGCTCTCGGCGTTCCAGCTGCAGTCTCCCCAAGCCTCTGTATGATCATGTAAGTGAAAGCAAAAGACAGTGAGGGGGGGAAGTTGTTGAAAATCCAAAACAAACGAGGAAAGGTCTGGCAGCACCTATAGAGAGAGAAAGAGTTAATGTTTCGGGTCCAATCTGATTTCGGAACAGTTGTGGAGTCAGTGCGATGAGGGACACTTATTTCTGATTAGAAAGAAAAGCCAGAGTGTGTAGATGGGCCTGAGCTAATAGCAGGTGAAAAGAGTTGCTCTTGAAAGGGGAAGGTGATGGCCTAGTGGTATTGTCACTAGACTGTTAATACAGAGAGTCAGGTGAGGACCTGGGTTCAGATCCCGCCAAGGCAGATGGTGGAGTTTGAGCTCAAGGTTGACTGTTGTCGGTTGTCGGTTGTCAGGAAAAACCCATCTGGTTCACTCACCTTCATTTAGGGAAGGAAACCTGGCCGACATGTGACTCCAGACCCATAGCCATGCCTTAACGAGCAATAAATGCTGGGCTCACATGCCATGAGTAAATAGAAAAATAACAGGTATGCTCTTCGACAGTGGAGCAGTCGGGGTTCAAACCTCCAGGAGGGAGGACGTGGTTCCATCATATTAACTGCTTACTTCCTCACCTCTCCTTTTTATTGTTTTCAAGTCCGCCTACACGTCCCGGGACCTGAAAGGACTGACCGTCCAGCATGATATAGAAGCCTTCACGGAAGGAGAGTCGGTCGTGCTGACCCTGAAGGACAAAGGTAAGGCGCCACCTCTGGGTAATAGTTTTGGCATTAAACTAGCTCGGTCAGCGTGGGTGATGTCAGGATGTGCGCCTTTGCACGCAGGCGCTTGAGAATCTGTCTCTCTGAACCCCCGAGTCGCTATCGGAAGGATTCAAAGTGAGATTTTCACAGGGTAAGCCGTTCGCCAGAGTTACGGTCCATGTCAGCCAGGATGTAACAGAATGGCAGGAACGGGCCTGAGGGGCTAAATGGCCTCCTGCTGACGATTAGCCTGCAGCTTTCAGTGGGTTTTTCAGGTGTGACCTTTTGAAAAGGTATATCCTTGGAGCGGGAATATTTCAAAGATGACAATCGGAAGAATGTAGAGAGAGGGGTGAGCGGGTAACTTCAGTTTTTGGTGGTTCGGTCAGACAGTGGGAGAGGGAGATTGTGTGGCGGCTTCAAAAGAGGAGGGATTTGTGGAGGATGGTTTACGAAATTCTGTGCGGGTGGGGACGGCGAAAGAGCAAGCGAGGAGAGATGGGATGTCAGGGCGGAAGAAGGCCCCCCTCCCCACTAAGAGAGATGGGAACAGGGGGCCTCCGACTTGCAACGTGACCCATTTCTCGCACCTTTCTGTCCACCGCCGCTTTCCACTCAGGAGTCCTGGACGAGGAGGATGACGTCCTGGTCAACGTCAACATCCTGGATAAAGAGCGAGCTGACAAGAACGTGGAGCACAAGAAGAAGAAGCCCGACTACAAGCCCTACGAGGAGGAGGAGAGCGTCGACGACATGGCAGTGGTACGTTCCAGCGCACGCCTCTCCTAGCTTATTCCGGACCGTGCCACTGATTTGGGGGTGGGAGGGTATGTGGTTTGGCGACAAAGGCGGTGTGGACCCGGGGAACGGACAGGCAAGCGTGGGTCGATTTTGGTTCTGTTTTTAAATTTAGTTCTTCCCCCCCACTGTTTTGCTTCAAGTTTAAAGGAAAGTCCATCCTGTCGAAGTATGACGAGGAGATCGACGGGGAGAAGAAGAAATCCTTTAAGCTGGAGGCTGGGGGGACCGCCGACGGATCATGGGAGCGGGAACTGCAGCAGATCCGCGAGACCCTACGCAACCAGGCGCAAACCCTCGACATGCCGCAGCTGAAGTTGGCTTCAGAATTCTACACCGAGGAGGAGATGGTGAGGCAGGGAGAGGGGCTGGGTCCGGCACCCGCTGACGCATTGCAATGGTGGAGGGGAATAGATGGTGCAATCTTTCTCTCCGTTTTTTCTCTCTCTCTCTCTCTTTCTCACAGGTTACGTTCAAGAAAACCAAAAGGAGAGTGAAGAAAATTCGGAAGAAGGAAATGATGCTGAAAGCCGACGACCTCCTTGCCCAGGGGCACGAGAGCACAGTTGCCGATTACGGGTCCAGGTGAGTTGCAGCTCAAAGCCTCTCGGTCACCGGCTGCTGTTCCACTCTCTGGAGTCCGTTTCTCATGCAATTGTAGGCGTTTACTGCCATCCCTGACTGCTCCCCGAGCAGAGTGACTCACTTGGCTATTTCAGGGGGCACTTAAAAGATTCAACCACATTGCAGTGGTTCTGTAGGCTAGACTGGTTTTATTTTAGATTCATTCACAAGATGATGGCATTGCTGGCTGGGCCCAGCATTTAGTGCCCATCCCTAATTGCCCAGAGGGCAGTTAAGAGTCAACCACTTCCCCGTGGCTGTAGTGGCATGTAGGCCAGACCAGGTAAGGATGGCAGTTTCCTTCCCCAAAAGGCATTAGTGAATGAGATGGGTTTTTCCTGACAATGGAGTCAAGGTCATCATTAGACTCTTAATTCCAGCTTTGAATTCAAATTCCACCATCTGCCGTGGGCGGGATTTGAACCCGGGTCACCTGGGTCTCTGGGTTAACAGTCCAGTGATAATACCAATAGGCCGTCACCTGCTGAAAGAGTTTCTTCCCTAAAGGGCCAGATGGGGTTTTACAACAATCATAGTCCCCATCGCTGAAACGTGCTTTTATTAATTTAGTTTAAGTTCCACTAGCTGCTAGGATTTGAACCCACATCCCTGAGAATTAGCCTCGGGATAACTTATCCAGCAATTATTACCAGTGCAGCACCAGCTCCCATCAGTTGCCAATTCTAAGGCGAACGGAAATATGCTAAGTCCCCCGGCCACCGGGGGAACTGTGTGAGGTATTTCCTCTGATGTGTCGTCTTTTACAGGGAACGTGGCCGAGGCTGGAAATTCAACAGCGAGGCAGAGGCAGAGGCAGAAGGCGACACAGAGCAAGCAGAGGCGGCGGCAGCCCCAGAGGTACAATCCGTGTCTGACGACATGCGTGTGGAAAACATGGATATCAGTGACGGTATGTCCAACCGGGGAGACCAACGTCAATGCAGTTTTCACTCTGTAAACCCTCATTGTTTTTGTCCCTGCAATCCACCCCCACAGCATCTCTCTCCACCAACCACCACCGCAGCCCCCCCCCCCCCCCCCCCCCCCACCCCCCCCCCCCCCCCCCCGTAGGCAAGCACTCTGTCCCCTCCGGGCTTGCCTCCTCCATTTTCCTCACTGAGTGTCTGAAATGTGCCCACGTTCTCCCACACTGCCGTTTCCCCGCCTTCGCTCTCGTCGCTGACCCATATCTGCCTCCCGATTCTGACAACGCTAGGGTAGGGGAGTCTGAAAGTAGAGGGCGTAGGTTTACGGTGAGTGGGGAAAGGTTTAAAAGTGACCTGAGGGGCATCATTTTCACGCAGAGGGTGGTGCGTGTATGGAACGTGCTGCCAGAGGAAGTGGTGGAGGCTGGTACAATGACAACGTTTAAAAGACATCTGGACGGGTACGTGAATAGGAAGGGTTTAGAGGGATATGGGCTAAATGCTGGCGAATGGGACTAGGTCAGATGGGATGTCTGATCAGCATGGACAAGTTGGACCAAAGGGTGTGTTTCATATGACACTGATCTTTTTTTTTAAAAATATATTCTCGCCTCATTACAAATCCCAGTTCATGGGGATCATTGACCCTCCAATTGTGCGGCACCCCCTCAACACTGACCTTTCTACTGTGCAGCACTCACCAAGGGCCCTCTGGCCTGGTACCCTGCTCCCTCAATACCAGCCCTCTGGCCTGGCACGCTGCTCTCTCGGTTCCGGCCCACCGGCCTGGCACCACGCTCCCTCGGCGCTGGCCCTCCGAAAGCATGGCGCTGGATTATTGGAGCAGTAGCATTTGTATTGTAGTGTAGTGTAGTGTAGTGTAGTATTCCTTCAGGTTGGGCAGGGGGTGTTGTGGGTTGGGATTGCTACCTGATGTGACCTGCCTGCACGGTGTGTTGTCACCCTCAGATGAAGCCCGAGCCCCTGACACCCCAGTGGCCATCGAGGAGGACGAGGCTGAGATGGAGCTACAGAAACAGCTGGAGAAACAACGGCGGCTGCGACAAATGCACAAGCAGGCATCCGATAAGGTGAGGCAGGACCCATTGCTGTCAGGGGGGAGGTCTGCCATTTCCAGCTCGGAGGAAAACGTTCTGGGATCTCCCAGGTTGCTCCTGTACCAGAGCAACCCCCTGGGGACTTGTACCTTGTAAGACCAGTTGGAGTTCCCTTTCCTCCCAAGCAGGTTTATGCCCATGACTGAACTGGCTCAGGATCACCGTCCACTGGCATAGTGGCTTTCACACGTGCAATCTAGGGCTGGGCCAGTCGGCCCCTCAGCCCTGCTCCACCACTCAGTAGGATCAGGGTTATTCTGATTATGGTACCTAAGGATGGATGTGCTGGTGTTGGAGGGCATCCACAGGAGAATTACAAGATCCTGGGAGGAAGGGCTTGTCATATGAGGAGTGGTTGAGGACTCTGGGTCTCTACTCGATGGAGTTTAGAAGGATGAAGGGATGATCTCGTTACAACCTATAGAATACAGAGAGGTCCAGATAGGATGGACATGGAGAAGATATTTTGAGGCCATTTTGGAATACTGTGTTCAGTTCTGGTCTCCCTGCTGTAGGAAAGATGTTGTAAAACTTGAAAGTGTTCCAAAAAGATTTACAAGGATGGGGGTGGCTGGGGTAGGAGTGTTTCAGCTCGAGGGAGAGAATGTTCCCGAAGTGTTGGAGGCTGAGGGTGACCTTATAGAGGTTTATAAAATCATGAGGGGCATGGGTAGGATGAACAGCCAAGGCCTTTCCCCAAATAGGGGGAGTCCAGAACTAGAGGGGCATAGGTTTAAGGTGAGAGGGGAAAGATTTAAAAGGGACCTGAGGGGCACCTTTTTCACGCAGAGGGTGGTCCGTGTATGGAACTAGCTGCCAGAGGAAGTGGTGGAGGCTGGTATAATTACAACATTTAAAAGGTATCTGGATGGGTACATGACTAGGAAGGGTTTAGAGGGAAATGCTGGCAGATGGGACTAGATTAATTTAGGGTATCTGGTCAGCATGGACGGGATGGACCAAAGGGTCTGTTTTCTGTGCTGTACATCTGTGACTCGATGACTGTAGTAGGAGGGCACATTCTCAGAATGAAGGGATGACGCTTTAAAACTGAGTTAAGGAGGAATTTCCTCAGCCAGAGGGCAGTGAATCTGTGGAACTCATTGCCTCCGAGGGCTATTGAGGCCGTCTTTCATTGTATTAAAGACAGAGATAGATTGGTAAGGGCAATCAAGGGTTAAGGGGCGAAGGCAGGAGAATGGAGAAAAATTGAGAAAAATGGTCAACCATGATAGACGGTGGAGCAGACTCGAGCTAGATGGTCTAATTCTGCACCTCCATCATCTGGTCAACTCCACATTGCTGCCTTTTCTCCTGCATTGGTTTAACCTCTGATTCCCTTGTTTGATTCTTGACCTACTTCTGTCTTAACAATGTTCAGTTAGCCTTCCTGCAGTGCTGTCTGGGGCAGGGTGAGGTGCAGTGTGACCTGGATGTCATGGTGGAATAGTCGCTGAAGGTTGGCATGCGGGTGCAGCAGGCAGTGAGGAAAGCTAATGGCACGCTGGCCTTCCTAGCGAGAGGGTTTGAGTATCGGAGTACGGGTGTCTTGCTGCAGTTGTGCAGGGCCTCGGTGAGGCTACACCTTGAGTATTGTGTGCAGTTTTGGTCTCCTAGTCTGAGGAAGGACATTCTTGCTCGTGAGGGAGTCCAGCAAAGGTTCACCAGACTGATTCCCGGGATGGCAGGACTGACATACAAGGCAAGGCTGGATCGACTGGGCTGGTATTTGCTGGAATGAGATGGGGGGATCCGATAGAAACATATAAATTCCTGATGGGACTGGATAGGCTGGATGCGGGAAGAATGTTCCCGATGTTGGGGAAGTCCGGAACTAGGGGGTCACAGCCTAAGAATAAGGGACTGAGTTTGGAACAGTGTTTCCGCGTGTTGTGTCGCAGCAGAGGGGACTTGGGAGGTCGTCCCCACTAACTTAAAATAAAACCAATCCCTTCTCCGCCAGGTTGTTGACATCGCAAAGAAGCTGAAATCCGAACGGAAGGACGAGGACGCGGATGAGTTGGAAAGAAAGGGGCTGATAGTCTTCAACGCCACGTCGGAATTCTGCCGGACCCTCGGAGAAATCCCAACCTACGGGCTGGCTGGCAACCGGGAGGAACAGGAGGAGCTACTGGTGAGTGTGAACAATTTAGAGGGAGCTTTACTCTGTATCTAACCGCATACTGTCCCTGTCCTGGGAGTGTTTGATGGGGAACAGTGTAGAGGAAGTTTTACGCTGTATCTAACCGTGTGCTGTCCCTGTCCTGGGAGTGTTTGATGGGGAACAGTGTAGAGAGAGCTTTACGCTGTATCTAACCCCACGCTGCCCCTGTCCTGGGAGTGTTTGATGGGGAACAGTGTAGAGGCAGCTTTATTAGCATTTTAAAAGAGAAGGAACAGAGACAAGGAGGAGTGTGTCTAACTAATGCTAGCATTGCTGTGTCTCCGTCACTTTCCCTGTACAGGATTTTGAAGTGGAGAATAAGGAGTTGTCGGATGACGAGATAGAGATGGACCGAGACGAAACAGTGGGCTGGAGTACGGTGAATTTGGACGAGGAGAAGAAGCAGCCGGAGGTAAGGCAAATGATGGCTGAATCAATCCCATATCAAGGGGCGCCTGAAAGGCTGGCTTTGCGGTCTGTTCATCCCCCTGTCTCTGCACAGCCTCTGCTGGAGCGTTGAGTATGGGAGTTGGGAGGTGATGTTGCAGCTGTACAGGACGTTGGTTAGGCCACTTTTGGAATACTGCGTTCAATCTGATCTCCCTGCTATAGGAAAGATGTTGTTAAATTTGAGAGGGTTCAGAAAAGATTTACAATGATGTTGCTGGATTGGAGGGTTTGAGCGATGGGGAATAGGCTGGAGCTATTTTCCCTGGAGCGTCAGAGGCTGAGGGGTGACCTTATAGAGGTTTATAAAATCATGAGGGGCATGGATAGGTGCATTGTCAAGGTCGTTCTCCCCAGGGTCAGGGAGTCCAAGACTGGAGAGCTAGGTTTGAGGCGAGAGGGGAAAGATTTAAAAGGGACCGAAGGGGCAACTTTTTCACAGAGGGTGGTGCGTGTATGGAATGAGCTGGCAGAGGAAGTGGTGGAGGCTGGTACAATTACAACATTTAAAAGGCATCTGGATGGGTACATGAATAGGAAGGGTTTAGAGGGATATGGGCCAAATGCTGGCAAATGACACTAGATTAGTTTAGGATATCTGGTCAGCATGGACGGGTTGGACCAAAGGGTTTGTTTCTGTGCTGTATTACTCACTGCTCCCCTATTTTGTTAGTTGTCCCAAAATGCATCATCTCTCACCTCTCGCCTCTCTCTCTCTCTTTCTCAGTTCTTAGCCACGTCCACCACGATCCTGGATGAGGAGCCCATTGTGAACTGCGGGCTAGCAGCTGCTCTGCATCTCTGCAGGAACAAAGGCAGGTGCATCGACCAGGGAATCCCTCTAGCCCCTTCTCCGCATGTTGGTCTGAGGAGATCACACTCCTTTCTGTCGTGCTGGCCTGCTACATCCCCAACCCCAGGGCCTTCAGTAGCCATGGAGAAGGCGGGATCGTTCTCCACGGAGCAGGGAAGGTTAAGGGGGAGATCGAATTGAGCTTTCCAGAATCGGGGAAGCGTTTGTAACAATTCACTCGGGGAGAAACTGTTTGCAATGGCAAAAGGGTCTGGCGCCAGAGGGACGCAGATTACCAGATGAAGAAGGGGAGATGAGAATGTTGAACCCACGGAGATGTTGTGATGTGGAATGCTCTGCCTGAAAGGGCAGCAGAAAGTTGGTTGGGTGGGGGGAAACTCAGTTCATGCGGGAAGGGGAGATTATCTGCAGGGTCGATGAGACTGGAATGACTGGAGAATGACCGTCACAGACCCGAAGGGCCGAATGGTCTCCTGTGCCACACGATGCTGGGAAACCGGGGAACCTGTTGGGCTTCACCCTCCCATTTCTGCCAGGGGCTTGCCAGCCTGGCAATGTTGGAGTCTCCCCTGCCCTTTGCCCCCTCCCCTGTCCTGGTGGTGCAGGTTGTGGCAGGGCAGGCAAATAGCAGGCTGAGGGGGCACTGGCGGGTCTCAGAACCGAAAAGCTGACTGTGCTGGGAGTGAAGTTACGGGACGTTCAGGACAGAAGGTTTGGAGGAGGCAGGGAGATTGCAGCGGCAGGGTGTGTGGGTTAAGGAGGATCTCTCCTCCCCCATGCCCCCGCACCTCAAACAAAAAATATAAGCAAGGAACCCTCCATAACTCTTGCTCCTTCCTGTTTCAGGTCTCCTCGACACCACAATGCAGAAAGTCGCCCGAGTCCGTTCCTCAGTGAAGACTCTCCCATCAACAGTTTATGCCATCGAGGACAAGATGTAAGCAGCTGGTTGATGGGGTGGTGGCATGGAACAGGGTGAGACAGGCCCAAACCTTAAAAAACATGGCTGGCTGGGCCCAGCGTTTATTGCCGTTCCCTAATTGAGAAGGTGGTCGTGAGCCGCAGCCTTGCACTGCTGTCGACCTTGGAGTTATGTGGACACCCATAGTGCAGTTCCTGGCAATCCAGGATTTAGACCTAACGAAGCAACAACAAGTCAGGGTGGTGACTTGGAGGGGAGCTTTCAGGTAATGGGTGTCCCCATGTATCTGCTGCCCTTGACCTTCTGGGTGGTAATGGTCCCCATTTTGGATGGCGTTGTGTAAGGAGCCTGGGTGAATTTCTGCAGTGCATCTTGTAGACAGTACACACTGCTGTGATTGAGCGTCGGTGGTGGAGGGAGTAAATGTTAGCATTGATGGATGGGGTGTCAATCAAGTGGGCTGCTTTGTCCTGGATAGTGTCGAGCTTCTTGAGTGGTGTTGGAGCTGCCCTCATCCAGGGGCAAGTGGAACAAATATTCCATTGCACCTTTTGACTTGTGCCTTTATAGACAGTGGACAGGCTCTGGAGAGTCAGGAGGTGAGTTACTCACTGCAGTGTTCCCATTTGACCTGCTGTTGTATTGCGTGGTAAGGAGAAATCCAGGATTGTATTCGTCTTACCCCTTGCGAACAACCCCATCACCGCCTCCTGTGTGCTACATGGTTAATTCTAAATATTTTGGGCTGACGCCATTGTTTACTTTCAACCTGTACATTCTTGTGGTCAGACCGAACCAGTTAGTGTGTTTGATTGTGCTGCAATGATCCAGGTTGATAGATGACAAGTATAGTCGGAGAGAGGAATATCGCGGCTTCACGCAGGAGTTTAAGGAGAAGGAAGCTTACCGGCCTGATGTGAAGATAGATTACGTGGATGAATCTGGAAGGAGACTGACCCCGAAAGAGGTAGGGTGGATGTCGTGGTCCCACAACCCACTCCAGGCCACTGTCAGCACGGAGAGCGCAATACTGTCTAAATTCATGACCACCCCCAATTAAAATCCCCTGGCCGTAGTTGCATCACTGAATATAAATTGTCTGCACATTCTCCTTGCTGTTTGTGTGTGTGTGTGTGTGTGTGTGTGCGCACGCGTGCAAATCCACTGCCCCGCTAACTACACTTCGAAAGTACTTCCTCAGTTGGAACGTCCTGAGGTGGTAGTAAGTCTCTGTAGAAACACACGCCTGGCTTTGACATAAACCCTGGTTTTATTAAGCTCCCTCTCAGAGTTTTGTCGATTTTTGAGCCTTCAGCAATTACACCTCATCCTTCTTCTGTTGGTGTAAAGTAATGTAACCCGTTCCTGCCAGTGCTGCCCCCAGCAAATATCATGGTTATGTAAACCTCTATAAGGTCACCCCTCAACCTCCTACGTTCCCCAGTGAAAGAAGTCCTGGTTTGTTTTATATCTCGCTGTCCATTCCCAGCAACATCCTGGTAAATCTTTTCTGAGCCCTCTCCATACCCTCCCTATAACAGGGAGACCAGAACTGTGCACAGTACTCCAGAAAAGGCCTCACCAACGTCCTGTACAAACCTCAACGCAACATTGCAACTCCTTTTACTCGAAGGAGTGAGTAATGAAGGCAAGCATGCTAAACGCCTTCTTATCCACACCCCCACTGTTGGGGAGCTCCAGGATTTTGATCCAGTGGCACTGATGAAATGGCTATTTCTGTATCAGTTGCAGGGGGTGGTGTTCCTATGTATCTGCTGCCCTTGTTCTTCTGGTGGGTGCTGCCAGAGGAGCTTTTGAATTGCTGCAGTGCTTCTTGTCGATGGTACACACTGCTGTTGCTGTATGTTAGTGGTGAAGGGAGTAACTGCTGAAGGAGAGGCTGAGCAAATGGAGCTGCTTGGACTGGGATGGTAGGGAGGTGTTACATTGTGGTTGGTTGGCTCGCTGAGCTGGTTCGTTGGTTTTCTGCAGACGTTTCATTACCCTGCTGGGTAACATCATCAGTGCAGCCTCTGATAAAGCGCTGTTGTGTTTTCCGGCCTGGTTTTTAAACTGTGGAGTCCGTTGAGCTGGATTACCTCACTTCTTCCGGCTTTCCTTCGCAGTGGAGTGTATATGGGGTTGAGCTCGATGTGTTTGTTGGCTTTCTTTGTGGAGTACCAGGCTTCTAGGAACTCCCGTGCCTGTCTCTGCAGAGACACATAGAGCTTGACCCCATGTATCCTCCACTGGGAAGGAAAACCAGAAGTGAGGTCATCCAGCCAACCAACCACAACATTCACAATCCAAGCTACAAATCTACTCCAGAACCTTAGAGGTGTTACATTATTTGGTGGATGGTTTGTTGGGGGGTTGGAGGTGGGCTGGTGGTGGAAATGTAGACACTGTTTCCGTGTGCACCTTGGAGTTTAAAAACATTTTGTCTAAAAACAGGCGTTCAGACAATTGTCCCACCGGTTCCACGGAAAAGGGTCGGGCAAAATGAAGACAGAAAAACGCATGAAGAAACTGGAAGAGGAGCATGTGAGTTTGAAAGTCTCTCCCTGCCCCTCCCCTCTCACCGAGTGCCCGTCCTTCACTGTTTGGACCCAAGCTGCGCACATCACTGCTGATCCTGTCAGATACCTTTTTTTTTTTGGGGTAGGGAGTATGCTTGTATGACTGAGCATCACCAATCAGTGATTCCTCCCACCAGCCCTGCTCCTTTTCAGGGGACGGGATCGCACAGCAGAGGGCTAGGAGGTGATCCACCAGGATGTTACCTGGGCTGGAGCATTTCAGCTATGGAGTGAGACTGCATAGGCTTGAGTCCTTCTCCTTTAAAGAGAAAGCTGAGTGAGGTCCCAAAGTTATGAGGGTGATAAATACAGGTAAATGGGGAGAAACATTTCCCCTTTAGTAGAGGGATCAGTGAGCAGGGACATGGCTTTAAGGTAAGGAGCAGGAGGCTTTGAAGAAGTGTGTTTCACACAGAGGGTGGTGGAGATCTGGACCTCGCTGCCTGAAGAGGTGGTAGAGGCATGAACCCTCAAGGCATTTAATACTTAGGTGAGCTTTTGAAGCACCACAGCAAATGATGGGGAATGGGGTTAGAATGGACAGATAAGTGGATGACGGGCCAAAGGACCTTTCCTTGTGCCGCAAAAGGCCCAGTGGAACCTGCCTGCCCGTGTGTCTTTGCCTTGTGTTCACCTCTTGTGTTGTGCTTGTTTCAGCTGCTGAGAAAAATGAGTTCGAGCGATACGCCGTTGGGAACCGTGGCCCTCCTGCAGGAGAAGCAGAAAGCACAGAAAACACCTTACATTGTCCTCAGCGGGAGTGGCAAGAGCATGAATGTGTACGTGAGCCAGGCCTGGGGCAACGGAGGGCTATTGCTGTGATTGTTCTGATTCTGAAATAATTCTATTTTAAGGAAGGATACAGGGGCATTGGAGTGTTTACTCAACTGGTCCCTGGGGGAGGCTGAGTCAATTTTTTAAAATTCGTTAATGGGATGTGGGTGCCACTGGCTAGGCCAGCATTTATTGCCCTGTCCCTAATTGCCCAGAGGGCAGCTAAGAGTCAACCACATTTCTGTGGGTCTGAAGTCACATGTAGGCCCAGACCAGGTAAGGATGGCAGTTTCCTTCCCTAAAGGGCATTAGTGAACCGGATGGGATTTTCTGACAATCGGCAATGGATTCACGGTTATTATTTGATTCTGAATTCAAATTCCACCATATTGCCATGGCAAGATTTGAAGCCAGATCCCCAGAACATTAGCTGGGTCTCTGGATTAACAGTCCAGCAATTAATACCACTAGGCCATCACCTCCCCAGTTGCCTAGATATTCTGAAGTTTAGGAGAACAGGAGGTGGTCGTGTTGAGGCAGACAGGATTCTGAAGGGCCTTGGACAGGGGTAGAAACTGAGAGATTGTTTCCCCGGTTTGGGGGGGGGGAGGGGGTGGTGTTATTTAAACATGGGGCGTGGGGTATCATTGAGGACTGAGACGAGGTAAATATCTCCCTCACCCCCAGGTCTCTGAATGAATGCTTCTTCATTGAATACATTTAAGGCTGGGATTAGGTCTTTGGTCTCTTGGGGGGATTGAGGAAATGAAGTTGAAGCTGAGTATCAGTGGTGAGGGGCTGTATGGTCTGCGGCTGCGTATTATGTGGGGATGGGGTGTTTGCTGAGATTCTGACGCTTTGCTTTCTCTTACAGAAACACGATAACGAAATGAGACTCGTTGACCCAAGGACCGGACTTTGGCACCGATGTAGGGGATGGGGTTTATTTTATGGGAGGGGAATGAAATGGAGAGATTTGGTCACTGGCTAGATTTTGCTGTTTTATTTACTGTCTGGAGCTTTCCTGCTGTACATTTAATAAAAAAACACTTTTCTTTTTCTTGACTGTGTCACGTAGCAGAGTGTGGCAGAAGCTGTAGAATTTGACTCTAGTCTGGGTGTGACTCTGATCTCGATGAAACACAAGCAGAATTTGCTGGAAAAGCCACAGCAGGTCTGGTAGCATCTGTGGAGAGAAATCATTGACCCACAACGTTAACTCTGATTTTCTTCCACAGGTGCTAGCAGAACTGCTGCGGCTTTTCCAACAAATTCCTGCTTCTATTGAAGTGGTAAAAGATACCTCTGGAAGCTATGTTTAAGCCAAAACCTCACGCAGAGAAAAAGAAAGAACTGGGTGGGACGGTGTTTGAAATTCACCAAAGATCCTCAGACAGCACCTTCCAAAATCACTTCCATCGAGAAGGACAAGGGCAGCAGATACATGGGAACACCACCCTCTACAAGTTCCCTTCCAAGTCACTATTTGGAAATATCACCGTTACTGCAGTGGTTCAAGAAGGCCGCTCACCACCACCTTCAAGGGCAACTAGGGATGGGCAAGAAATGCTGAGCACAGCCAGCCATGCCCACATGCCATTTGCATTTCTTCTGGCTAGCTCTGTTGATGCAGTGGAATGGTACTCCACATCAGCACAAAACATTCATTTCTCAGCAATATTTATTTATTTTAAGTACAAATGGTATTCTCTCCAGAATGTAAGACTCTGCCCTTCTCAGTGCATCGCTCCATAAGTGACAGGAAGATAAAGCCTCGAGCTGGTCGACTGTGGCGTGTGCGCACACAAACAAACAAAATCTACCCTCCTATCCCACAATCAACTGGTTGTCATCAGCCTCCAAAGCTCCTCAGTCAATTTGATTGGGGGGGGTGGTGAGAGAAGAAGGTGAACAGGGATGGACTGGCTGGCGGAGGTCATTGGTGGAGCTGCCAGAAGATGTATTAATGACACAGCCAGCCTGGTGCAGGATTCAAATGGATACCCGCAGGGGAACATGCTGCAAGGCAGTGGGAGAGAGGGTAAGACGCTGAAAGGATGTCTCTCCTCCTCCCCCCCCACAACCCCAGATGAAGCACTTGCCCCTTCTGCAGTCTTTGAGGAAAAAAAAAAACGATCAACGGTTTGCCTGCAGTTATTAAAGCAAGCATTTGCTGCTGTCCTGTCCTCTAAACTCCCTGCTCCTCCTCGTCTTCCTCTTCGTCCTCGCTCTCCGAATACTCGTAATTCCTTCGGTTTGTGTTGACAAACAAGTCGCTGTCGTCTTCCGAATCATCCCCCGACTCTTCCTCCGAGCCCCGGTTACTTCCATCTTTCTTTGTGTTACTGGAGAGGGAGAGAGAATGCAGCTTCCTTTACCTGAAGCCTGACATGCAATGAAATATCACCCCGGGGGCACATCACAAGTATATTCTAGAACCAAGTAGGCCACCGAGCAAGAGCTGGAAGGGAGAGGGCACCAAGAAGGGTCAATATCAACTTTAAGGAGAGCGGGGCGGAGGGGCTTAGGGAAGGAATTCCAGAGTTCGGGGTTATAAAGATAGGGAAAGGTGCAAGGGTTGGAGAAAAATCACAGAGATAGGGGTGTAGGCGCAAGAGGAAGTGACAGAGACAGGGAGGGGTTGTCAGGGTTACAGTGTGAAGGGGGCTCATTTGGAAAGGGCTCCAAAGTGGCAGAACGTGCTACAGTTTTAAGATTGATTTGTATAATGGAGAGAGGGAAATGGTTTTAGTTTAAATGTTTGAGTTCTGGAAGTAGAGTTGGGTTGTGTAATGAAATGAGGTATTTAAACCCCTTTCGTTATAGTTCAGCGCATTAGAAACATGAAGAGAAAACTGGGTTGCTGTCATATGTGTCCACTAACAACAGACAGAAAACTGTTCATCGGGAAAAGGTGGTGTGCAGGACTCATTGACACAGAAGTAAATAATTCACACAGTTTAGCCATCTCCAACACAGTCGTGGTTGAAGAAAAGATTCAAAAACAGAAGGCCGTGGAAGTGGAGTTTCGGGAACCCAAGTTAAGGACTGGGTGAGCTTTGTTAGCAATGTAAGCATCTCAGAAGGAGACATTAATTGAAAGATAGCATCAAGCGAATGCAGAAAGGGCAGACAAAAAAATTGATTACAGTTGTGCTAACTGAATAAAGAACTTTAACAGTGGAGACAGGGTGGGCATTCACTGAAGTTTGGGTATCTGTAAGGTTATTGCTGAGGCTAAAAGGGTGGAAACAATTTCTGATATTTTTAATGACTGTCAAGTAGTTATTGTATATTAATCATTTTCTTTCTTTCCTTTCAAGGGGAATAAACTTAGGTTATTTGTTAGAATTATACTGGCAGCTTCTTGTGATTATATTCAGTGACTTAACCTCGTAAGCAAACAAATAGCAAAACAGAACTCAGTCTATCAAGCCAGGTCTGGGCTCAGTATCAGCATTAGTTGGGGTTATATCACCAGAGATAGGGAGGGGTGTAGGGGCTGGAGGAGGTGAGAAAGATAGCGAGCAGTGTAGAAGCTGGAGGCGATACAGAGGTAGAGTGGATGAGAGTACACCGGGTTTGGAGATAAAGGTGGGAATTTTGAAGACTGGGTGATCTCCCAACCAGAGGGTCAATGCAGGTCAGTAATATGGTGAGAGATGGATGTGACTCAGTCCCATTAAAATGCTGGCAGCAGGGTTTTGAACAATAGGAAGGGGGCGACCAGTCAGGAGTGTGTCAGAATCGTTCATTCTGGAGGGAACAAATGCAGGGCTGAGGCTATCGGCAGCAGAGGAGCTGAGACAAGGGGAAACGAGTGTTCATTGTCTGCTGAGCTCCACAAACACACCAGCACGCACACAGGTCAGGGAAAGAGAGTCTCTTTCACCAGCCTGTGCCAAGTCAGTGCGCTGAAGTTTATCACATTTAGCAATGTGCCCTCACTCCCACAGCACAGGCAGACAGACAAACAAACACACAGAGGTGCAGCTTTGTGAAGGGACAGAGGAGATCCCTTGGGATTCAGCCCCTGATGGCGTGGATTGAAACCAGACACTCACCTCTCGGGGCACTCTGTCGCTGGGTCACAGAAAGTGGCAGGCCTGCAGGGTTAGGACCAGAAGGAACATGGGTCAGGGGCAGGGCTCCACCAACTGACAATCAGAGTCATAGACACACACATCTGCTGCTACCCATCGCTGACCCTCCGGCCGCGCCGCGCTCCCTCGGCGCCGACCTTAATTGCTCTCGAATTATTGATACGAGGCAGTTAAGAGCCAACCCCATAGTGCTGGGATTGGACTCTCATTACAGCCAGACCAGGCAAGGAGGGCAGATTTTCTTCAATTGTTAGTAAAACACTATTATTCTACAATAAGAAAGTAGCCACATTCCAGGCACCATCACTGGACCTTTGAAAGATTTCACCAGCTGCCTGGCCTGACTCGAACCCAGCTTCCCCGAACATGAGCCCAGGGCTCTAGATCCCCCAAGGTCTTACCAGGTACCACCCACATCCCCACAAACAGGCATCACCCTCGCGCGAGTACCCTTTGGATTTCCGTCACTGCTTGGCCTCGCGACTCAAGCCGAGTGTCCTACCAGAGCCCGTCCTTCCTGAGCTGCTTGATGTGTTCCTTGTACAGGATCGAGTTAATTTCCGCTTTCACCTTTTCACCTTCCTGGATGGGGTCCACGATTAGGAAATCGCCTGACAAAGCGGGGTGGGGGGATGGAAGAGAGACCGAACACAGATAATCTCACAGAGAGATCATCGCCTCCACCACCCGCCCCCGACACACACACACACACACAGCCAGTCAGTAACCCCCAACTTCCCAGGTTCCAACACTGACTCTAAGACGCGAGTGGAAACCCCAATCCTCCCCCCAAATCTTTCATTCCCCTCTGCTGAATTTTTCGCACAGTACATGCACATTGCTGGCCGGGCCTGCATTTGTCGCTCCTCCCTAATTGCCCCCAAACTGAGTGGCTGGCCAGAGCCAATACACTAACACTGCCCATTCCAAAGGGACCTTGCCTCGCATTAAGCCGGACCCTGACCAAGCGCCCCCCTCCCCCACCTCCCCCCCCCTCCCCCCACACCAATGCGCTCGTACCCCTCTTGATCCAGATGTTCTTGCGAAACTTGGTGGGCATGCTGGCGAGGAACCGCTCCCCCTGGGCCGTCTCCACCTCGTGCAGGTTGTTCCCCGGCGAGCCGAGCACCTGTAGGGGCGAGCCGACAAGTAGCCTGTAGAGGGCACTCAGGCAAACAGACAGCACCACGTGGCACACAACGGCAGAGAGAAGAGGCGCTGCTGAGACCGCGCGCCGTCAGGACCCAATGCAAGAATGCCACATTCCAAACCATCGCGACAGCGCAGGGGAGCCAGCTGCTCCCTGTTCCTATCTCCACGGCAACAGATCCGCCAATCAGGGTCACTTTGCCAATCAACTGGTGCCCCTCGCTTCCGGTGTTAGAAACTGTCCTGCCATGTCTGAAATTTTGGAATTCTTGCGCGCGTCCTGACGGGCACAAGGTGAAAACTTCCAGCTAAAGGTTCAGGGCGATCCAAGCCACGTGGTTTCTCACTCTCGCTGCATCACGCGACCCCCAGCACCATCCCAAAGGCTCAGGGGTAGTCAACAGTTCATTGCCGACTGTCGGAAAAACCCCATCTGGTTCACTCATGTCCTTTAGGGAAGGAAACTGCCAACCTTACCTGGTCGGGGCCTACATGTGACTCCAGACCCATAGCATGGTTGACTCTTAACTGCCCTCTGGGCAATTAGGTATTGGCAACAAATGCTGCCTAGTCAGCAATGCCCTCATTCCGTGAATGAATAAAGAAAAAAAAACAAACACACACATCCGCTGCTGCTCAACTGGGAATGCGAGATGACCGTACAGATTTCTAAAGAAACGCAGTTTTGTGGGACGTGCCTGTTGTTGATTACTTGCCCCGAGCGCCCTTGAGCACGAATGTATCACCAGGGCCATTTCAGAGGGCAGCTAAGAGTCAACCATGTTGATGTGGGTCTGGAGTCACGTGC